TGGTTTCACTCCAAGCCCCTGGTCTGGGCTCATGTGGGAGACAACTGGTTGATGTGTCCCTCTCACATCTATCTTTTTCTCTCTCCAACCTCCTCCCCTCCCTCCCTTCCTTCCACTCTCTAAAAAGCAATGAAAAAATATCCTCTGGTGAAGAGGAACCAAAACCAAAAAGCAAAAAACACTTCTAAATGGAAATTGCAGGTATGACAGCTATCTTGAGGATACACAAACTTGATAATTCATCCAAAGAAATGCATTTCCTTGTTTTGTACTTCCTATAACTCATTCAGAATCAATATAAATGATACAAGGTGTAGGGACACAAAAATAATTTCCCACCTTTCTAAGTTCTTCTGGCTGAGCTAATAAATTAACATGAGACAGATGAACAAAAAATGTTTAAAATTTATTACATATGTACATGCAGCGGTTTCCCAAGAATGAGACCCGAGGTCGCATTGGGCAGTTGAGTCTTCTATGCCATCTGGACTAAGAAGGGGGGCAGGGGTCTGGGAAAGTGGGCAATTCACTGGTGGATGAGAGAGAGCAAACATGTGGCCAACAAATGTGCCAGAAACAATGGGACACAGAGGGGAGTCCGACAAACAAGCTTTGCTAGATTTCTCCCTGTCCGCCACACTCAATTCAGACATGTCAGGGTAAATATGCTAAGGCTCCCTTCCTGAAGCAGGCTTTTATATTTTTAAACATGTTTTTATTGATTTTAGAAAAAGAGAGAGAGAGAGAGAGAGAGAGAGAGAGAGAGAGAGAGAGAGAGAGAGAGAGAGAGAGAAAGAAACATGGATCAGCTGCTTCCTGTACATTGGGATCCAGCCTGCAACCTGGGCATGTGCCCTGACCTGGAATCCAACCTGGGACCTCTCAGTGCATCAGCTGAGCCACACTGGTCAGGGCCTGAAGCAGGTTTTTTAAATCTTAATTCCTTTTAGGCAGATAAGGAAGAGGGTCAAAGGTTCTGAGTCTTTTGTTTTTTAACACATTGCAGACCAGTAGTTTTATTGCTAGCTTTACACAGTGGCCAGTTTAGTTTCTATTGAAGGAGTACAAAAAACGTTTTACATAAATGTTAAAGGCACGCTTTAAAATTAAATACCCATTGCATTTTCAAGTTATTTATTACATGTTCTTACAAGCTAATATCTTTTAAAAGAATTCTCATGATTGGCTTCCCAATCACAATGCCTTTTCTAGGAAAATCAACCTCAGATCTTAATCATTTGCAAAACCAGGTACTTCAAGAGAAACCAGTCCTGGCCACCTCCATCTGCAGCTCCTGGTGCTGCTTATGTGCTTGTTTGGTGCGGACTTGGCATCTCATCTGTGAAGCGGTAGCTGAGGAGACTCATCAAGATTGAGAACAGCAATCATATTGGGTTGAAGGTGGCGGGGCAGGATGGCTCTGGGGTGCAGTTTACGATTAAGAGGAACACACCCCTTAGCAAACTAATGAAAGCCTATTGTGGACGACAGGGTTTGTCAAAGAGCGAGATGCGATTCCGATTTGACGGGCAGCCAATCGATGAAACAGACACTGCACACTTGGACATGGAGGATGAAGGTACAAGTGATGTGTTCCTGCAGCAGACGGGAGGCGTCTGCTAAAAGGGGAACTGCTACTTTATTCCAGAACTTGTAGAGTAATAAAACTGCAAGGAGTTTGGTTCCATCGCATCCTATTACAATACAGTTTTCTCTTTTTTCATTTTCCCCTTTCCCATTCCTTTACTGGACATAAAGTAACTGATGTATGTGCACAAACATTTGCATTTTTAAAACTAAATGGCCAAGGGTATGTGGTGTTGTTTGGGTTTTCTTTTTAACTTTTTTTAAAAAAAATATTTTTATTGATTTCAGAGTGAGGAAGGGAGAGGGAGATAGAAACATTAATGAGAGAGAACCATCAATTGGCTGCCTCCCGCACATCCCCTACTGGAGCTCAAGCGCACCACTGGGGCATGCGCCCTGACTGGGAATTGAACTATGATCTACTGGTTCCTAGGTTGATGCTCAACCACTGAGCAACACTGGCTGGGAATGTTTTGATAGACATCAAATGGAGATGGGATGGGGAAAAATACTGGTTCTATGAAAATACTCCCCTTCTCCATTAGCAGCTCATTCAGCTTATAGTCCAGTAAGTTATTTTGCTCTCATTGTTTAATAACAAAAAAACAAACAAACATAAAAATCCTTGCATACCTTTGGAAAATTTTAATGTTTTCACTTATCATTGCAAAATCAAGGACAATTTTATAACTTTTTTGTACATAGCTGTTACATATAGAACAATCTGTCCTTAAGTAGGAACAAATTACTCTAACAGAGTTCTAGATAGTTTTCCCTTAAGTCAAATGTCTTGTTGTTTAAATAAACTTATTTAAATTAAAAATAAGCAGGGTAGCTCAGTTGGTTAGAGCATCGTCCTGAAACCCCTAGGTTTTGGGTTTGATCCCCCTTCAGGGCACATACAAGAACCAACCATAAATAATTGGAACAATAAATCGATGTTCCTCTCTCTCTCTTCTCCTCCCTCTCTCTCTAAAATAAATCAATACATTAATTTAAAAAAAATTTTAAAAGAGAGAGAGAGAGAAACCCGTCCTGTTTCCCAGACTAAGGAGAAGGAAAACTCACCTCTGGCTCTGCAGCCAAGCATCTCTGGCTTGGATGGTGGGGTGGTTGAAGGTGAGAAAGAATACAGCCTCTTCCATGGTTCCACAGGCTCCTGTGTCGCCTAGTTCACTCTGTTGTAACTGCCAGCTTCCTTGCCTGTATCCCCCCTCTACAGGGACTGAGTATTGCCAGGACCTGGTACAGTGTCTCCCATGAGACAATATTATTTGCTAAGTAAATGGATATAAAACCATTGAAGCTTGGAGACAATGTGGAGTAGCAAAAAAATCATTATCTTACTTCTCAACTTTATAAGTATCATTCTGACTTTGAGTAAAATATTATCTGAACTTTCGCCCTGATTGGCAAAAAGGTGAGAATGGATTGCTAAGACCTCCTCCAACGTTCTATGTACATGTATACAAACCAGGTTTCAAATTATAAGACTGATTTTTAAATGAACACACCAGAATTCATAAGTGCAAATGAACACTAGCCCCTTTAAATGTAGATACTTTGGCCAGTGTGGCTCAGTGGTTGAGCATCGATCTATGAACTAGGAGGTCACAGTTCAATTCCTGGTCAGGGCACATATCTGGGTTGCGGGCTCAATCCCCACTGTGGGGCATGTAGGATGCAGCAGAACAATGATTCTCTCTCATCATTGATGTTTCTATTTCTCTCTCCCTCTCCCTTCCTCTCTGAAATGAATAAAAATATATTAAAAAAATAAATACAGATACTTACTCATTTAATCATGGAAACCAATTTGGAATCCTGAAAAATTCATTTTGTTTCTAATTCAAAGCAAAATCAAATAGCTTTTTAAAAATTTACAAAAGCAACATATATTAAAATAAATTAGAAATCATAAAAGGAGAAAAGAATTGACCTATGATCATAGAGAGAGAAGCACTACTGTGGCCTGGGTATAAATCTTTCTGAGTCCTCCTGCTGGAAACATATCCTGTATGTCTGCATTATTTCTTTATAAAACCAGGATTATTCTACCCTGGTAACCTATCTCTCCCCACATCCTTTGCAAGCAGAGTAATGGGTAGAATGGCAATAGTAACTTAATCAATGACCGACTGCTGGATATTTAGGTTGTTTACCCATCACTATTACCAAAAAAATCCTATACTAAATGGTAGTTGAATTTTTGTGCACACAATTATGTTTAATTACGTTTCAGAATAAATTTCCAGAAGTGAATTTTTTTGAGCAAGGCTGTCCATTTTTAAGACAGCTGTTTTGTATGCAGTTTTTTTTCTCTTTAGTAGATTTCCATCTTTGTGTGTGTCTGTGTTTAACTTGTTACATTTATTATCTTTATCTTTTTTTTTTTTTTTAATCCTCACCTGAGGACATTTTTCCCATTGATTTTTAGAGAGAGTGGAAGATAGAAACACCGATGTGAGAGAGCCATACTGACTGGGTTGCCTCCCGCACGTCCCAACCAGGGATGGAAGCCTGCAACCGAGGTATGTACTCTTGACTGGAATCAAACCTGGGACCTTTTAGTCTGCAGCTCTATCCGCTGAGCCAAACTGGCTAGGGGCCAGATTTCCATCTTTTTGATAGTAGATATAATCACTGGAAGCAGCTAAAAGTTACTGGGGGTCAAGCTTGGTGATTAAAGTGAGAGACCAAGTGAGGCAATCAATACTAGTTTTGGTTGGAAGCCTCTACTATTCAGCACTGTAACTTGTTTTCACAACAGGCTCATTATCAAACTAAGCATATTACTTCCCAGACACAACTATGAAGGGGACAGAGCTTGGTGAAGATGCTTTCTTCAGATTCATTACTTCGCAGTTATATCTCATTCACACAGAGAAAATTGCAACATTTGAGCCAATCCACTTTAAACAGCTATAATGGTTCACCTAACTTAAATAACTGCAGTATTTTTTCTAGTATGACATTCTCATAAACACTCATTTGGCACTCAAATGACAGTTCACATACATTATCTTTTTAATTTTCATGCCACCACTAAAAATATAGATACTATTCTCTCCATTTTATAAAGGAGGCCGTGGAGGCTCAGAGAATATACATGATTTGCCCAAGGCAACACAGCTGACAAAAGGCAGAGTCAGGATCCAGTTTGGTTCTGCTTAGCTTCAAGCCCCCACGTTCTTTTCATTTTCTGACCCAGCCGCTAGCGCCATTGTGTAATTCTTTAATGTATCATTATAGGCTGCTCAATTCTTAACGGCTACGACTAAAATTTCTTAATGGCTCGATCACTACCAGTGAATAATCATACTCTTTATTTAACCTGGAAGTGAACTAAACAAAGCTGGAGGTATTGCTTATGAATAGGCTCATTTATATTCTTAAGAAAAACTGGCAGTAACTACAAAACCTCATTTATTCAATTTAAATAAAGTAAATATTGATACTGGACTTTACATTTAGAGAGACTTGTCTGGCAAGTGAGCCATGTTTTAACAATAACCATAGTAAAAGAGAAAAAAAATTAAAGCACTATGTTAAATAAAAGGCTAATAAAACCTGGAGGAAACAGCTCAGTGTTTTCTTTTAAACCCTGAAGAACACCAAACATGTGTTGCACAAAGAGTCATTTTAAGAAAAGACTTATTAACAATCCAATAGTAGAGTCAGCACTAAGAATTTCAATGATATCCAACTCAAAAATGCATAGGGAGTAAAGTTATTTTATTAAATCATGCACATCACGTGTGTTAGTGCAAATAGTTTAATCTGTACTCCAGAAATTCTATTGTACTTTATATCTTTACAAAATAGATTTAAAACAATTATTTACTTTAAAAAATGTAATTCTGAAGTTAAGCATTTCAGAACAATATTTGCAATAACCTATATACAAGAGGTACTGGGTACCACTGGCATATTAGCATTCTGTGGTGGAGTGGCTTCCTGCAACAGAAAATGATGAAATGAACTATGTATGACAGTATTTCCTACAAGTCATCTGTGACTAATTCCTCCATAAATCTAGTGATCCTCCCAACAGCCAATCCCGAATAGCTTAAAACATAACCTTTAAAGTACAAACAATGACTGCCAAACATCACAAGGCAAATTATATCCTAAACTTCTATTTCAATATTTGGCTAGGCCTGTGGATTGCCACAGAACGTTCAAGCCAGTTCACTGACATTGCCTCCTGGCCTTCATTGACTGAAAAATTTAACTATGTGGTACTTTAGGATATTCTATGATCTAAATAAACTTTATTGACATGACTGTGGTGCTGCACAAAACCACTTCTGTGTTTTAAATTTATAATATCAAGCAGTGTTTAGGTGCTTCACTGAGCCTGGAACGCTATTAATCTTGGGAATAGTGCTCTCATTAACAGAACATACCAATTAACAAAAGAAAATAACCATTTGCATACCCAACCAGGAAATCTGTTGGTAGGTACTAACAGTATACTTCGAACATGAATTAGCTTTGAAATACCATAATCAAATTAAGTCTGTAAAAGCTTATCTAAAGAGAAATTAATTCTTTCTTCAATTAAACATGCTTTGGAGGAAGAGATGATAGAAAAAAAATCATGCTTCCTAAAATGCTGTATATGAAAAAGTAACTTGGCTTTAAAGAAAATATCTCTTTAAATACATGAGGTTTAATAAATTACATTCCAATTGACTCAAAAGTTTGGTTTACTGCACTGAAATTATATAATTACTATGTTTTTGCTTCCAGAAATTCTTTAGTTTGTTCGAGAAAATACTCTCATGGAAAGTTTTTCAAAGCTGATGTCCTCCACATCGTCAAGTCACATTAAGGCTGAACAAGCGTGCACATATTGCCCAAAGTATCACTAGAGCAGAATACTTTCCAAGTGCATTATTTCTCCTTCAACAAAAAAATCCACACAAAGAGTTGTCTCTAAGTCTTGTTCCCAATAGCTCAGTGGTTTTATAACAAGTAAAAAATGGTGTAAATATGTAAAAAATATATATATATGTGTATATATTTCAAACTGATAGGCACTGAGCACACAGGGCCTCTCTTCCCATGTATACATCGGTTGTTTGGTTTGGGTAATTAACGAATCAGAAAAATGAATTATCTGGCCTTTAGAATTCAGAGTAAAATAGCCATAAATTTAATGTTATAAATAATCTGGTGTACCAAGAAGCCTACTTTAGGCCACCATAATATTCAGAACCCCAACATACTAATTTAAAAATTACATGAAAAATTGCAAGCAAGTTATTGCTTACAATAAAGTCACAATTTTATATTCTCTTTATAGACAGATACATTTTATATAATTTAAAGCAATGACCCTACAGCTGTATTCTTGCACTTCTGTCTGCTGTTTTAAGAGGTAAAAAGGAAGAAAATGGTTCTGTTTGTCCCCAGCATGAGTGTGATGCCAGCTTCTAGAGGGAGGACGGTGTACGGACTCAAGAAACGCTCTCATGGAGAAGCTCTGGCCAGACCTGGCACGTACAGCACAATGGCTGTTACTGCAACCAGGGCAGCCAACATGGGCATCCAGGGCCAGGGTTTCTGTGTGGAAAGAAACCAAGAGTCAGTATCACATTCTCCCCTCTCTTTTCATACATATTAACCCCTTGGTTTCCAGAGAGTCCTGAATACTTGACTATTAGAAAAACTTTATCTTTGCATAAGAAAACATTTTAAAAAGAAAGGAAATAAAGGTGCGGGAGAGCAGGTGTGAGAAGAGCCCTAACAGCAGGAACTCTTTTAGAGGACCACTGTGTCTCGATACATCTCAGGCAAGTCCTGGGCAGTTTTCAGTTTTGTTACAGCTAAAACCCAACAGTGACTTCTAAGAAGCCCTCTGGGGTCAGCCTGCTTTATTTACTCCAGTACCCATATATTACAACTAACTGATGTACACAGATGCCTGGAGTATGTTTCTGCCTAACGTGTTTATTTCTTGATAAAAATCAGACTCACATAGTAGGGTAGTTTTATACAAAAGGTTGGTCAGTAAGAAGATCGAAAGAAAATGGTCTAAGCTTTGATGCTTGAATTTGAAACCACATAAGACAAAATCAGATGGGGTTCAAGATGGGGAAGTGCTACTTAGGGACTCTGCCTATCTGATACTTTTGGTAAAGACCATGTCCAGTGTAATAATGTCATGTGATCATCTCATATGATCTACTAGCATGCATGCCTGTTGGAGGCAAACATGGATGGGCTGTTCCCTGTTAATTTTCAGAGGGCTTTATAATATCAACTTGCTTTTGGTTGATAGCTTTATTTTTATTAGTGTTTTTATTAAGAAAGTTGGCTTTTAAGGAAATATTCTAATGTTGCAGATCAGGGCTCAGAAAGATATGGGGTAAATTTACTCTCCTAAGTAAATGCACATTGAGGTTGAGATTGTGAGCCAATGGTCCATTATGTTAATCTCATCCTTTTTCATCTTCATAGCCATTGTGTAAATATAGGCAAGGATTGAAACAAAGAAACCCTACACTATGGAAAAGAAGAGGAAAGGGAGGAGGGGTAAGAAAGCTGGCTGAAAATTTCAAAGAGGCAAACTCTTCATTTCTCATTAAAATCTGATTAAAAATATAATTGGAAAGGGGTACTAATATTGCAGAAATTCATAGCTTACTCCAGTTTGCTAGAGACAAAGACTCAGTTAAACGCAGAATATTAACAACTGGTTAGGTTGGAATTAATTCATTGTTAGCATTACTACAAAGGAAACAAGACAAAATGTTACATGATTAGTTGATTGTTCAGTTCATTCAAATGACACAATACATGGCATACTAAATGAAGGGTTTGCTTCAGGTAACAAAATACCCGTGTGGTTTTGCCATGCACTATATTACAAAGATGGTACAAACAGGTGACGGGGACAAACAGACAAGGACTCAACAGTAGTGCTTGTACCTTTCTCTACCACAATGGACCGAAACACCAAAACAGGAAAGCCAGGAATAGGCCGATGAATACGGCTGGGACGGGTTGTAATATGGAAGGCTAAAGAAGGGAAGGGATATTAAAATCATTTTATGCTATAAAAAATCAGATAAGATGATTTAGACCCCAAGGGGGTGGGAGGAAGGGTAGAAAGACTGAGGTAATAGAAGTATTAGCACTCAGGTTTTGCACTGATTCAAACATTTTAAAGACATCTAATACAATCCAGAATGATGGACTGTGGTATGTAAGCTGACAAACTACAGTCTAACAGGAACAGCTGGAGGAATGGGCAATGTGGGTGTTCCTAACATCCTAATGAAAGGCAGTATGTTAAGACAGAGCAAGGGCAATATCTCAACAACTGATGCTCTGCTTGACAGTACATTATTTTTGCTTCATACTTGGAATCCATTATTTGACATGAGTAAATTGGAAATGGCTAAAATTTATTTGATCTCTCCATCAAAACCTTTCTTTAAAAAACCAAAACTCTTTTGCTGTTGCTTTAAAGCTTAAAAATAAATGCCCTATGGTGTGTGTTTTCTAAACCAAGTAAGAGAGCTGACATAATGTAAGATCATCATTTGGTATATGAAGACAGGCAGCTAAGTCTCAGGGCTTTGGGTTTTATTACCAAATATAAACAATTATTAAATTAGGAGGAAATTACCACAATGAGTGTTATTACAGAGTAACATTTTAGTACCACATGTCCATATTATAAATAAAAGGAAATTTACCCTTACGGTAAATTATTTGTGCAACTGCAAATAATAATAATGTTACTTTAGAAAAGGCTCTAAATGGTGCAGGGAATCCATTCTGATTATGCTAGATGTCTTCATAGGTTAATTTAGTAGAAGGTAGACTGAAATTCCATACTCAGAAGGATATGAATTAACATAAAAGATAGGAGTAATCAAACTTGGAATCAAACCATTATGATCTGATTTTAGAAGAGTTCTGTAATCTATATTTTCAAAATAAATGCACTCTGTTTTTGCTTAGCATACAGCCTCCAGACCCCATTCATTAACTTCTAAAAGTCTTCTAACTAAGCCACATGCCTTTATTTTCTAAAAAACTAAGACTTTCTTTGGCAAAGGAAGGACAGCTGGACACAACTCATGAGCATTCTGTGACGGCCATGCAACACCACTCTTTTGCACTGTGCTGCGAGTTAAGCAAAGTGCCTTCCTCTGCAGGAAGTGTGTGTCTCCCGCAGTGTCCAAGCCATGGCAAAGGTCTGAAGTAAGTCACAGCACATCCAACCACACTGAACATCATCCATCAGTTAGGTCCCACAAAGGCAATGATCACCAAAACATGTAACACAACATTTATTTAGTACCACATCTTTTTAAAGACCATCTGCCTTTCTAGCAAATGAAAAACAAATTAATATTAAACCCAGTTTATACTAAAACATTCCAACTTCACACATGTGTGTACACACACATGCACACACATAGCCCTACAGAAACTTCAATATTTCCTAACATTTATGGGAGGCCAAAAAGACACTACGTTTTTTAGGAATGTGCCTTAGTGAGAAAATTCTTAGTATAAAATAAAAGCCATAATAAAGTTTCCATTTTTGGATACAACCAAATGCTAAGGAGTCAACATGAACTACTCTTTCTTAGGTGGGACTCTGGTGGTACAAGGCTTCATTTCCCAGCCAGGAAAAAAAAGAGCCAGGAAGTGGGACAGAAGTTCAGATTCATCAGTGAAAAGCTGACAGTTCTTAGGTAATTATTCTCTTGCAAACAAGGCTCTTGCTCCAGGCAGTCCTCAGGCTCTTCTAGGGGTACAGGTTAAAGGAGCAAATTCTTAACTAAAAATTTTGACAACACAATGATTCCATCATGACATTTCATAATGAAAATCTTAATTCATGTGTATTATAGGCCTTAGTTTCTCAAATCAGTAATAAAATCCTCTGAAGAACCGATTTCAGGGCTCTCACCTGCCTCTCAATCAAAGCTAAGCCAAGTTTGCAAAGACTTACATTATTTCCTTTTTCTCGGAGCAGCTTCAGGTTGTCTTTACATTGTTTGAGCTCATCTGTGATTGACTGTTTTTCCTGCTCAGTCATTTCAAACTTCAACTTCAGTTCTGAGAGTACAGTCTGTGTCTTTTCATACTAAAGGCAAAGAAAAAAGAGTGTGCAGACTCAACTTAAAAGGGTATGAAGTTATGTTCTAGTCAGGCTTATATACCAGACCCTCTTTAGTCACCTGCAACACCAAAGTCAAGCCTTTTTGTTTTAAGAAGGATAAGAATCATTTACACTAATAATAAGAAGTCTTTAATGTTAACTTGATTCTATGTAAGAATTTTCTGGCTCTGAAGTTAAAAAAAAATTAAGAGAAGTAACTAGTGTGTCATCTGTTTCTAATATAAAGGGTCACTTTTTCCACTAAGTGAGTTAGAGGAGAAAAATAAAATTTCAAACTGAGCAAAAGAAAACAGGTGAAGAAAAACTCCATAGCTTAATTAAATGGCAAGGTTAGAAAGTATGAGTTTATATCCTGGTAAGCAATATCAGCCAAGCTAGTTTAGTCGCGAAGTAGAAAGTATTAATTCCCATTAGTCCTCCTTTAATCCAGCATCACAGGTTATGAAAATGTTCCAGATAAATGAATTTCTAGGCAAATAAAGCAAAGAAATGTGTCTAAGGCAGCGGTCGCCAACCGGTGGTCCACAGACCACCGGTGGTCCATGAGGTCCGAAAGGTTGGTGACCACTGGTCTAAGGTACCAACGACTATGAGTAGGGATATTTCTATCTCTCAACTTAAACTTATAAGCATCAATTAAAAGTAATTTTTAGAAATGTGTTTCTGATAGACATTATAGAAAAATGTCTATAGAAAAGTGAAACAAACTACTTCCTGCTCTGAAAAACAGTTCACAGTATATAATTTTCAGATGCACTACCTAGCCCTCAAAAACACAGGTGAGGTTAATGGGAAATGCAGTATGGTGTGCCCCTACTTAAATGCCCCGGGAGGCAGGAATTCTAGACTGGTTCCACTTCTAGATATTGCATCTTACATGCAAGCTGGGCTCCCAGTCAAAGAGCAAAGACTGTTCTGCTGCTGGCTGTGCCTTTGTCTCGGCCTCCGCTGCCATCTCTGAAGATTGTGGAAGAAAGAAAGACAAGGGCTGAGTATAAAATAAATATACCATGGGTTTGCCATACTGGAAAGGTTTCTCCTCTTCCCTAAACATAGACCATGAGGCTGGAAAGCTTCTAACCCTTTCTGCCTATATCCTAGAAATTCCTCAATAAAGGATACACCTTGATATGGTGCTTCTGAATAATGCAATTACCTTGGAGTTTATCATTATGCATCCCAAAAGGTAAAGAACTAAGAAGGGTAAAAATGTATAAAAACATTAGTCAGAAGAGGTGGGGGTAAGGGGCTTAGGGTCAGCAGAAAAGTCACTAGAAAATGGGGAGAAAGATATGTGTACAGAGAAGGAGGTAAAATATGAAAGGGGCGCCTTATTACCTACCAAAGTCCCCAGAACAAGTCCAGATAATATACCAGAGAGTGAATTAAGGAGTAAGATTCATGGACTTCATGACAGTTTTTTTCTGTGGGGTCTGTGGACTTCCTTCCAGAAGGCAGAAGGTTATGGGTAGGCTGCCAAGGCAAATTCAGTGTACCTAGACTAGTCTGTGTGCCTTAGAACATAATCAATTCTAAATGATCTGATTCTTAACAGTGAGTAATAGAGCAGAAATGAAAAGTGCTTTGCTGACTTAAATTTCCCCTTACTTTCCCTTTCCACCATTTTCACATCCATCCTGCCATTCATACCAAAGCACTTAGCCATTTCTCCGTTCCAGGAGTTGTGAAGCTGAAAGACAGTTAGGCAGCTCAGTCGGAAGATTGGCTGTTTACCTTCAGCATGTGAGAGGGGTGGGAAGAACTCTGGCCTCAGAACAAGATGGTGAGGCCAAGCAACTTCGCTGAGTTAGTCTTTGCAAGGTGACTTGTATATTCAATGTATTATAAATTCATAGATATTCCTACTAAATTAAACTATGTAGATGCTTTTTAAAGTCAAATATAAAGATGCTATACTATTATTTTTCTCTTAATACTGAGGGTAAATGTACTGTTCTCATGTATTTTTTCTTTGTTAAATATTCAAATAAAAGCTGCCACATGTAAAAGTTTAATTGTTGGAACAAAGGTCACCTTCTGCAAACTTAGTTTCATATCTTGCTTGGATATCACTTTTGCTCTATCTTGCTTTCTAACTCAGAGGTGAGAAATGAGCTCAGTTCTGATTAAAAGGGAAATACCACACAATATTACCAACACTTTTGGTTTTCTTCTTAAATAACCTTGCTTATTAGCTGATAATATTTTAGCCTTTTACAGTGCTCAAGATACATAATGATGATACTACGCATGATTCTATGAGAGAAAGGAGAACAAAGGGGAATACTGAAAGGGAAGAATATATGTGCATTAATAAAAGGTAGTAATTCATTTGCAACAGATTACACAGATATAAGAGCCTCAGTAAAGAACAGTTTAGTTACAGACTAGTATCCAATAGTTGACATCAAACAAACAGAAAGAGAAGCAAATTTACATTACAAAGAAGTGTGATGACTACATATCATTTCACAATGGGAAACACTGAACAAGAAAACAAAAAAGAAACATATTGACAAGATCAGACATATTTTTAAATATGCTGCATTTAATGCAATCCAAAGGCTATCAACAATTTAGATGCTGTGACAACATGCCACTGCAATTTATGGAAACAGTTAAAGCATTTTGCACTGATGGCTTGGTAACCAAAAACAGGCAAACAAATAATGCAACAAAACGGTAATGCATTCATAGTAACATACAACAGAATCATCTTCCAACCACAGCATTCTTCCCAGATTTTGAAAGAATTATGACATATGGACTGGAAGAACACAAAGTGCTTACAGTATTAAATACTTGGGTATTTACTTTGGCACAAAATTTGTGTTCCAACTAAATAAAATGAGATTTCTCCCCAAACACATATCCTTAGCAAGAGGATAAAAATGAACATATTACAAAATCAATATGGCTGCATATACTGTTACAGGTTTTTTTTTTTTCCTTTAGGAACAAACATGAAGACAGAACAATAATCATTTCCAAGTTCAAGACACTACAAGGAAAGGAAAGTGCAAAGGAAAACTGCATTGATTAAACAGATTTTCTAAAAACAATTTTGGGAAAATTCGTTATTAAAGACAGAGAACTGTCTTCAACTTCCTTCCATTTATAACGAATCCTTTGTTTAACAGAGTCTACAACTGGGGTGGGCCCTGACCAGTAAGTAGATCAAAATGCACTAGGCTTCTCCATGCCCAGAGCAGGTCAGGAGGCAATGCAGGCCAGGAGTGCAAGGCCAGGACTGAACACAGCTCTTACTGCTGCATTGGCAACTTCAAGTCTTTGCTCAGAAGAGGCTGGGTGGGGTCTCTGCTCCAAAGTCAACCTTCACCATTTTTAACATGATTTTTTTTAAAAAGCCACCAAGTCAAGGTTTTAGCAAAATGACATGAAACAGGAGCATGCATATTTGTGAAGAAGGGGAAAATGAGATGGGGCTTGTGGGAAGAAAGTAAAAGGTCATAGAATATGTATTTGGCTGGCTGGTTATTAGGTGAATTTTAAGTAACTTTTCAGGCCAGTTTCACCTGAGGGGTTTAAATAGCATTATGGTGTGGCCTCACTTTATTTTCCAAAGTATTCTTTCTTTCTTTTTATTCTTTTAAATATATTTTTATTGATTTCAGAGAGGAAGGGAGAGGAGGAAAGAGATAGAAACACCAACGATGAGGGAGAATCATTGATCGGCTGCCTCCTGCACGCCCCACACTGGGTGGAGGATTGAGCCCACACACAGGCATGTGTCCTGACTGAGAATCAAATTGTGACCTCCTGGTTCATAGGTTGACTCTCAACCACTGAGGCACAACAGCTGAGCATTTTCCAAAGTATTCTAAGTAAGATACTGTCTTCGAGAGGGTTAAGTGATTTGGTACAAAGGGCTCTTCATATAGGTCAACTAACTGGTATGGAAAAAATTTTAATGTAATTTTATATATTTATATTTTTTAATGGTTTGGCCTAAATACAAATTCTCTATATATGGACCATGATATGCAGCTAGAAATCACCAAGCAGAGATGTTCCAAGTATCAACTTCGTGACAGGTCATGTAACTTGATTTCTAACTAGCATGAATATCTGATTTGCTTTTGGCTGTAAGTCCCACCATAATGGGGCTTATAATGTCTTTCCGCTTTACCTCTTTCTGTACATCCTTTGCTTGGTTTTCAGCCTTACTGAGAAGAGTTTTTAAATCAGTTGAATCCCGAAGATGCTGTTCTTTCAAGGATCCCATCTGATTCTCAAGCTCTTTCCTTGTCATCTGAAGGATGCCAAGATCACTGGTAAGCTCTAAACTCTGTTTCTGAGAACTGTAAGATAAATATTCACAGAGTTATTCATGTAGAAACTAGACACAGCAGGAAGTCCAATTCCTTAAACATTTCACTAGGAGGGATGGAGTGGATTTCAGAGAAAAGAAAACTATATAAAAAATAAGAGTTTCAATAAGTAAAAAGTGTCAAAACACTAAAGAATGCAAGTAAGTTTAAAGCTGTGTCCTATTTGCAGATAATCAGATATACATAAAGGTTGAAATTTAAAAGTAGAAGTAGAAGGTGACTATATTTTGTTATATCACATTATATTAACTATCATAAAAAGATTCAGTGTAGGTCTTCTAAAGGAAAGAATAGCATGTGCTTCAACTATTTATTATAAGTACTTGACAAATAGGATGGGGGATAGAAACTCACAGTTTAGAAGTCACTGCCAATTCAAGTAAAGATAAACCTACTCAAATGAGAAGACACACCAAAATGGGGAAAAGCACAGGACAAAGAACCAGGAGGCTGGGGCCCCTATTTGGTTGTGGGATGTTAAGCAAGTCATTTGACTGGTATAATACCATTCTCTGAGTAAGGATTTCCTGAGCTCTCAGATCTGTGCCGGCACCATGTTAAACAGACACAGATAATACAAGGAGAGTCTCAGTGCCCTCCACGGAACTCAATTTCTGAGGCTGTTTTCCTGCTTAAATTCTATGATTACCAAATTTTAAAACTTGATTTAAAAAAACAACCACAATTTACACACTAGGAAAACAGTTTTATAGGCATAAAAGGAAATTCTTTATTCAATTCCTTTTACATCACAGACAACAAAGAACAAAAGACCTGAATAGTGTAGTTGTGTTAAAGAATTTGGCTTCCAGGACCTGGCTGGGTAGCTCAGTTAGAGCATCATCCCAATACACCAGTGTTGTGGGTTCAATCTCCAGTCAGGGCACATACATGCATCAACCAAAGGATGTATAAATACGTGGAACAACAAATCAATATTTCTCTTTCTTTCTCTCTCTCAAATCAGTTAAAGAGATAATTTGGTTCTCATATATAAATGAAACAGCTAAAGAAGGATAAGGTCTTAAAAATTATTATGCCTCTCAGGATGAGTCATAAGACTCAGGATGTAACTGAGGTACTATCCTATATAATAAACCCTAATATGCAAATCGACCAAACAGTGGAATGACCAGTTGCTATGACGTGCACTGACCACCAGAGGCAGATGCTCAATGCAGGAGCTGCCCCCTGGAGGTCAGTGCATTCCCACAGGGGGAATCAGCCAGACGCTGGGCTCATGGCTGGTGAGTGCAGCGGCAGTGGCAGGAGCGCTAAGGATCCCTCAGCAGACATCCCCCGAGGGGTCCCGGACTGCGAGAGGACGCCGGCCAGGCTGAGGGACCCCACCCACTCCAGCGCACAAATTTTGTGCACCGGGCCTCTAGTGTAGTATACTAGTAAATCACATTTTGATTGTATGCTAGGCAGTTTCTTTTTTTTTTTTTTTTTTTTTTTTTGCTAGGCCGATTCTTAGGAGGCAGATGTGATGTCAAGCCAATACAGCCAGGAACTAAATGGCAGATAATAACCCATGAAGAAAGACTAGGTTCTAAATACAAGTATGCTGGGGAGGCTTACCAAATAAACTTAGAGAACTACTAAACCAGAAGTTTAAGAAATTAATTTGTCTTAAATAGTATATGTCAATTTAGGCAGACATCTTAACCAACGATCTAGTATGAATATTCCAAACTCTGTGACTTTATATATATATATACTAGAGGCCTGGTGCATGGATTCATGCACCGGTGGGGTCCCTCGGCTTGGCCTGCGGGGATAGGACCAGAACTGGCTCTCTGACATCCTCCAAGGCGTCCCGGATTGTGAGGGCACAGGCGAGGCTGAGGGGCCCTACCGGTGCATGATCAGGGCCAGGGAGGGACCACGGGAGGGCTCCAGGGTGTGTCTAGCCCATCTCACCCAGTCCTGATCGACTGGACCCCAGCAGCAAACTAACCTACCAGTCAGAGTGTCTGCCCCCTGGTGGTCTGTGCACATCACAGCAACTGGTCGTACGGTCGAACAAATGGTTGGACACTTAGCATATTAGGCTTTTATTATATAGGATATAATGTTTTTATTGATTTAGAGAGAGAGAGAAAGAGAGAAGGATAGAGAGATAGAAACATCAACGAGAGCCCAGCCAGCATGGCTCGGTGGTTGAGCATCAACCTATGAACCAGGAGGTCACAATTCAATTCCCAGTCAGGGCACGTGACTAGGCTGTGGGCTCATTCCCGTTGTGGGGCACCAGGACGTGCAGGAGACAGCCAATTAATGACTCTCTCGTCAGTGATGTTTCTATCTCTTTTTCCCTCTCCATTCTTCTCTGAAATCAATAAAAATATATTAAACACACACACATACACACACTTTCCTTTAAACAAACAAACAACAAAAAATCAAAACATTAATGAGAGAGAACATGGATCAGCTACTTCCTGCATGCTCCTACTGGGGATTGAGCCCCTAACCTGGGCATGTGCCCTGACCAGGAATCAAACTGTCGACCTCCTGGTTCATGGGTAGAGGTTCAACCACTGAGCCACGCCAGCTGGGCCCTTTTTTCTTTTTTTGTTAAAATCCTTACCTAATATTTTTTCCCATTGATTTTTAGAGAGAGGAAGAGAGACATAGAGAGAGAAACATCCATGTGATCAGTTTGTTGCCTACCACATGTGCCCTAACCAAGGTAGGGGATCAAGCCTACGACCAAGGTAACCTTGACTAGAATTGAACCCTGGACTCTTCAGTCCAAGGGCTGAAGCCCTATTCACTGAGCCAAACCAGCTAGGGTGATAACTGACTTTTTGCTAACCTTAATGCTCTTGAGGAAGGTAACCACAAGGCTAGCAAGAATGACTTCCATTTTGGTGTACTGGGGAGAAGAGGTGGATTAAAAGTAGCTTTAATAATAAACAGGTACTACTTTCATATTCTGAATAAGAGTACAAATGCTATTTAAATAAAAATATATAACAGATCAAATTTTTAAGGAAAAATAAATTTTGAACTCTGTAACAAATGTTTGCAGAGTTCAAATCCCCGTGGGAAAACAGGACTCCACTAATCTGTTGAAGTAAATCTACTGCATTGATTGGTTTGCATTTAAGGTACTGGATGCTAGAAAGATTTAACTGATTAGAGAATTCTTGATCTTATATATTATTACTCTTTATGTAACCCTGTTTGAAGTCCAGAAGCTGAATTTGTGTCTTTTAATTGTATAAATTCTTTGTCATGGTCATATCATCCTTATTGTAAAAGAAGGGATCACTGGCGTGAAAGAAAAGCAAACTTGTATTTGAAATTTATTATCATTTAGTTTATAGGACAAATTCAATCACTAATTAAAGATCTTTGCTGCTCATTTAGGAATATTTTTTGGGGAAGGGAGCATTTAATGAACCTATATTCCATGAGTACACCAAAAGGAAAGAATGTGTATCATGATGGTGGTGGTAGAAAAAAAAATGCTGAAGTAGTCATGTAGCATGGTTAACCTGCCAAACAGCCAAAATGAGACTGGCTGAACATTTTGCTCCAAAAATATATTTAAGTATCAAAATTAAATTAACTTTAAATTAAAATGTAAGATAAAGAAATATTTCAAAGCTAAAAAGAGTTCTTGCATACTTGTGCAATTCTTTTTCTTGCCGCTGCAGTTCTGATGATAGCAAAACATTTTCCTTTTTTAGAGAATGGCATTCAGTTTCCAATAATTTCCATTCCTTTCTCAACTTCTCTAGTTCACCTAAAAGAATCCCAAAACATATTCATTAACATAGGAACATAACTTCCATAATTAAGAGAAAACAAGATGAAAAATTTCAGAGAACATACGTATTTTCCCCCCTTTAAAAACATGTAAATTTTACATGGCTATTCTTAGATTCCTATTACTCTGCATCTATACCTCACGAGAAACCCCATCACTTTGAACTTTTGTAATCCCCTCCCCACTTGACTTTTATAAGACAAATAATTTTTAACAGAATTTAAATAAAATATAAAATTATAAAACATTTAGCTTATTCTAGAACTTGCAGACCTGAAGTTCTTATAGCCCTACTATAAGACACTGCTTTGTATAATCAATTGCTATCAAAGAGAAGAAGAGCCTGGGTTGTTAATTTTTATAAGTTATATGGTTATCATTGTCAAGAGGTTAGAGCTTATGTAAAATACACTTATCCACCTTGTAGCCTTGTTGCTTCCTCTCTCTGCTGGTCCTCACATTGTTGACATCGAAGCTGAAAACTGTTTTGCAGACTCGTGATTTCTTTCTCATATTCAGACGCTGCTTTCCGCCACCTCTCAAGCTCACCTCGCACCTTCTTAAGCTCTTCTTGCAAAGAAGCAATGTCAGTGTCCCGCTCAGAGGCAGCCTTTTCTGCTGCTTGATGAAGAAGCAAAATTTCATCTCGGGCACTAAGCAGTTCATCTCGAGTGCTTGTGATTTCACTGTCCTTCTCGTCCCGGAGATTCTCAATATTGATGTGTAACCTCTGCAGTTGGGCTACAAAAGTATATTTATCTATCATTTCCTTAGTCCATAGCAATTAAAAATAAAAGAATAGCCCATATGGGACTGTAGTCACTACATAGCCCAAGCTATCACAGCTGTTTGTTGTTTTTGATTAGACTGTACAAGCAATCTATGTTTAATGTAGAAAATGTCAAAATACAGAAACACACAGAGAAAACAAACAAACAAATTAATCTTTATTTCCCCCACACAGAGAAAATTGCTTCTAACATTTGGACTTATTCTTCTGGGTATTTTCTATGCATCTATACACGTAGAATACAAAATAGGGAGGATGAAAATATGTGTAGTGCTCTCTATCCTGCTAGTGATGAACATCTCTTAACAAAATAGTTATGCTGTAACTTTTTTTTGGCGGATCCTTTATTTTAGACATTGTAGACTGTTTAGTTTTTAATTATTCTAAACAATACTGCTTAGGGTGAATTCCTAGATAGAGAATGCTTGATCAAATGGTAAACATTAGAAAAATCTTTGATGTTCTTGATTCAATTTTCTGTTCAAATATCAATTCCTTAAAGAAGCCTTCTCTGATGACTTACCTAAAAAATCTTATCTGTCATTCTCTAGCTATTTACCCTGCCCTTATTGGATATCACATTATATATTTGTTTGTTGTTTATCTTTTCACTAGACTGTACATCTTATGCATGTTCTATCCCCAATACTAGCAAACAAGCAAGAATTAATAAAATTAATGAATACTGCCTAATTTTTAAACTTTATTTTTATTGTCGACACTATTACAGATGTCCCCATTCAAAGAGGTACATTTTTAAAAGATCTGGTCTTATGCCCTGATGATAGAACTGGAAATAATTTGTATGAAATAACACTTTGTTTAGGAGTAGCATACTAGGTTTGGTTACTATAACACAAGAAAATTATAGGTAAAAAAAGTTCCTTTGACAAAATAAAAGAATAATTAAAATAATCAAGAGGATTTAAGGCGGGGAGAGGAGGAGGAGGTTGCTCCATAAATAAATATTAAAGAAAATATTAGGCCTTTTAAGTGTGCAGGAAACACTGAGAGGTAACAGGTTCAAAACCTGAAAAAACACAATGGCCAGTGATGGTATGACCTTGGATTTGTGGGTTAAGTCCTGAAATATACATGCTGGCACTAGGGGGCACTCATTGATGCTTACGTAAGGCATCTTTAAAGACAAAAGGCAGCACTAAGTCACAGAACTGTCACAGAAAACTGCCCATGCACAATACAGGATGGCACTATAGATTCAAATAACATTTATATAAACTAATGAATAAGAGCATTAAACTATAATAAGGGCTTAAAAAGTTTTCAACTTAAAATGATATACAACCTATACCAAAAATTCTAATTTGACCATAATAAAATTTAAAAATTTTAATAGATCAAATATCCCACTCAAAAGAAAACCCAAAGACTGGCTTTTCTCTGGGCTATTTTAGGACAAATATCACAGGCCTCATACCATGGCTCCCCATTTCTTCTTAAGTGAGATTGTCTAATTTCTTACCCTATCTCGCAAACTAAAAATTTAAATAACATTAGTTCCCTCTTTGACAATGAAGGCAAATTAATCTTGCTTAGGAATCTTACAATAGCATAGGAAAGAAAGATCTCGCTTGGGGTATCTCGCAATTATAGCCTCACAGTACCAGAAGCTGCAGTTCAAAGAAAACTCGTGACAGGCAGAGGTCTTTCTGCTCATTTCTGCAATGACTCCGTGATAGCCCACTAAACGGGGGCTATGAAGAGCAGTCTTTACCACTGAAGGCAGTGTTGGGACCATTATTCTGTTTCATGTGGTATATAATTTTTGTTGCAATGCCAAGTGTGTTATGAACATTAGCAACATAAGCTAAAAGTGCTAATGCACAGAGCAGCTCAAACTGATTTCCTATCTGAAGGCTATCTCTGTAGTAACTCACTGCAATAACTCAGAAAGTGACAACCTTTCCAAATCCTCACCTTCACCCTTGCTCTTCTAACCCAAGTGTCTATTGTTTGAGTACAGGGGAATCTTCCTTTATATAGAAAGAAAGGAAAGGAGAAAGGGAGAGAAGGAGGGGGGGAGGGAGAGAGGGAAGGAAAGAGGAAGGGAGGGAAGGATGGAAGGAGGGAGCTCACCCAGTTATAGTCTCAGATTCTAGGGAAGAACAAAGGGAATGCTCTGCACTCTTAGTTTCCAATCCCTGTGAATCACTAAAAACTATCTCAAATACCCTTAGTGTCCATACCTTGAAGAACCTGTATTTGTTTAGTGGATTCCTCAATTTGATTTCGATAGGCTTTTCTTTCTTCTTCCAAAAGAGCTAAAAGTAAAACACAGTATATCTAATTTTGTGAGTTAATAAAAGTATTCAGAATTGGGCAGTGGGAAATTTCTTAAAAATTCTCTCCTAAAGCTTATTGAAGGAAACAAAAGTTAGGCGGTAAGTATCATCGGTATTGGCAGTTAGACAGTTTAAAGGTTTTAGGAGCACAAACAGTAAGTAGTAAGTAATAAATCTATTCAATTGAGTAGTGGGGTTTCCCAGACTTTGTATCACCAAGATATGTGCTATTCTTCACATGAGAAACATTCTTGATAATTGTTAATCAGCATTTTGAGCTTAAATTAAAAAAAAAAAAAAGAACTTAAAATCCTAATGTGTACTATCAAGTACATAGAAAGTACTGACTAAATAACTGCTGTTTGGGAAATGTTTTTGTTTGTTTTTTAAATATAATTGATTAAATTAGCCTGAGCCCTCCACAAGGTTTAAGTTCAATGCATAGCAACTCTAATTTCTTCAAGAAGCAGGAAAGGAAGGGAGTAGTAGCATCTCCCTGAGAGTCTTCCTCCTGGTCAGGAAGGCCTTCTTAGAGAACATGAGGACGCCAAAGGCCGTTCACTTTCTCCTCACTCTAAAACTTTCTAATGTGCTAATTGACTACAACCTGGCAGTTACTGTGAATGATACAGAAATGTAAGCTCTAGGGAATAGCCTATGACTCCACTGGCCTGTGACACTACAGTTAAGTGAGCTACTAGGAAAGAAATGGTTGGGACATTAGAAGATTCTTTCTATACCTTAATCTAGCCTGATTCTTCCCATTTACTGCTGAGTACACTGGAAAGTCACAGGGAATATAAATCTCCCTTATCTTATACTGAGTAGCTTACATTAGGTTAACTAAAATCAAGATCTTTCACTGGCAGAGATCTTTCATGATGTTCACGTCAAAACTGTGAAAGAAGTAGAGCAACCGAACTCTCCCCACTTTATTGATGTGAAACGTAAGTTCAGAGAGTTTAAGTGAAAGTCCCAAGATCACATACCTAATAAAGTTGTGGATCAGGAACAAGATACCTTGCCTCTAGACTCCAAGTTTGGGGCCATTCAGTTATATCATGTTGCCTCCATATCCCCTAAAGAATCAAAGTAATCTTGATCTCACCTTGAAGTTCAAAGCATTTTTGTTTACTTGCTCTAGCTAGCTCCTGGGCTTCAATCAATTCCTTGCGAAGATGCTGAATTTCTTGTTTTGCCTCAATTTCTGACTGTGCACCCTGCGAGTCATCTGATAAAAATGTTTATTTTAAAAGCAAAAGTTAGTATCACAATATAAACTCTACAACCAAAGATTAGCAATCTCATGTTTAGACATGCATAATTAAACAACACAGCGTAACTGAGTTAAATAAAACTTGGGAGCAAATTATATTAAGCATTTTAGTCATTTTACCTGGAGAAAGAATACAAGTACAGTTAAATAAATATATTAGTAGCTCATGGCATGTTACTATAAAACATATATTAATACATACTAAAATTATAAATTTCACTCATATAGAGCTTATGTAAGGCCTGAATGTCAGTAAGACAAGCATAATGCTATTCTTTACCAATTTTGAAATTCTTTGATAACAAAATCAGAACAATTTCACTTTTAACTTAACTGGAAGTGAAAAAAAGAAGAAACAAACTTTTCTTCCAGAAAAAGTATTTTTAGCATGATTTCCACAGTTGTGGGATACAAAATAAAAACCAGGCTAAAAGCTGCACTGTGCTCACGTTGTCATGACTGTTTTCCCAACAATACACACATAACAAATATTTGTTGAATTATTAAATGATGTAAGAAATAACTTAAATGATTTTATTGAAAGAAATCAGACCTACTCTTACATCTCAACTACATCCTTCCCCTAATTTCTTTCCTTTCTAGCCATTCTGTTCATCTTTCATTGTATTAAAACTTTCTGCTACTGCATATTGCCTGAAATAAATCAGATAGGCCATATTCTTCCAGTACATTCTATTTGACTATTACTTTGTTTTATAAGTAGCTCAGGCATAACAACTTTAATCCATCAAAACAGAGCTGCCCTAGCTGGTTTGTCTCAGTGAATAGAGTGTTGGCCTGTGGACTGAAGTGTCCCAGGTTCCATTCCTTCAAGGGCACATCCCTGGGTTGCAGGCTCAATCCCCAGCCCTGGTTGGGGTGCATGCGGGAGGCAACCAATTGATGTCTCTCTCCCACACTGACGTTTTCCTCTGCCTCTTTCCCTCCCTTTCACTCTCTTTAAAAAACAAACAAAAATCAATGGAAAAATATCCTCAGGTAAGGATTAACAAGAGAGAGAGAGAGAGAGAGAGAGAGAGAGAGAGAGAGAGAGAGAGAGAGAGAGAGAGAGAACACGCTGAGGCCCTGGCTAGTATGGCTCAGTTGGTTGGGTGTCGTCCATGCACCAAAAGGTTTCAGTTTCAATTCCGGTCAGGGCATATGCCCAGTTTTGGGGCTCAATCCCCAGTATGGGGCGTGCAGGAGGAAGCCAATTGATATTTTGTTCTCACATTGATGTTTCTCTTTCTCCCTCCTACCCATTCTCCCTCCCCACTTCCTTCCTCTATCTAAAAATAAATTTTATTTTATTTTTAAAAAAACAGCTGAGAATATAATTTCACAATACAATCTAAGTAAGTCTCAGATGTTACATACACATATTTTCATACTCATTGATTACATGGGGAAAGGGGAAGAGAAGAGGAAACGCTTCCTTATAGTAGAAAGCCAGCCAGTAAATGTAAAGGGAATGACAGAATCAGAAAATCACTATTTGGCAACTAATGTAGTAACAGTTGATTCAGGCAAGAATCATCAGTAGATGCTAAAATTAAGTAGGTAATAGGAGTAACAGGATACTTACATACCAGCAATAGAACAATTCAATATCAGACACCACCTCCTGATATGATGTGCACTATTATTGTTATATCCCTACCAAAAATGCATAGCTTGAATCTAATCATGAGGAAACACAAGGTACAGACAAACTAAGGGACATTTTATAAAATACTGCTCTTCCAAAATGTCAATGTCATGAAATACAAAGAAAGACTGGAACTATTCCAGATTAAAGGAGACTAAAGAGTCACAAAAAAAGAATGCAACCCATGACTCAGGATTTTATTTTGTCATAAAGGTCATTATTGAGACAACTGACAAAATGTGAGTAAGGCTTGTGGATTTGATAATAGTAATATACTAGTATATCAATGTTAAATTTGGGGAACTGTATAATAGTTATGTAAGAGAAACAAAAAATTCACACGGAAGTATTTAAGAGTAAAGGCTATGATGTTACAGTTCTTTCTCTCCCCCCCACCCCCCCATAGGTCCCCTCCACCCGGTTCCCACCCCACCCTCTGCCCTTACCACCTCCCCCGCACTGTCCTCATCCATAGGTGTACGATTTTTGTCCAGTCTCTTCCCGCACCCCCACACCCTTTCCCCCCGAGAATAGTCAGTCCACTTCTTTCTATGCCCCTGATTCTATTATATTCACCAGTGTATTCTGTTCATCAGATTATTTATTCACTTGATTTTTAGATTCACTTGTTGATAGATATGTATTTGTTGTTCATAATTTTTATCTTTACCTTTTTCTTCTTCTTCCTATCCTTAAGGATACCTTTCAGCATTTCATATAATACTGGTTTGGTGGTGATGAACTCCTTTAGCTTTTTCTTATCTGTGAAGCTCTTTATCTGACCTTCAATTCTGAATGATAGCTTTAATGGGTAAAGTAATCTTGGTTGTAGGTTCTTGCTATTCATCACTTTGAATATTTCTTGCCACTCCCTTCTGGCCTGCATAGTTTCTGTTGAGAAATCAGCTGACAGTCGTATGGGTACTCCCTTGTAGGCAACTGACTGTTTTTCTCTTGCTGCTTTTAAGATTCTCTCTTTGTCTTTTGCTCTTGGCATTTTAATTATGATGTGTCTTGGTGTGGTCCTTTTGTTCGGGGTTCTCTGTGCTTCCTGGACTTGTAAGTCTATTTCTTTCACCAGGTAGGGGAAGTTTTCTGTCATTATTTCTTCAAATAGGTTTTCAATATCTTGCTCTCTCTCTTCTTCTGGCATTCCCATAATTTGGAGGTTGGTACACTTGAAGTTGTCCTAGAGGCTCCTTACACTATCTTCATATTTTTGGATTCTTTTTTCTTTTCCAGTTGGGTGTTATTTGCTTCTTCGTATTTCAAATCTTTGACTTGATTCTTGCGATCCTCTAGTCTGCTGTTGGAACTCTGTATAATATTCTTTATTTCAGTCAGTGTATGCTTAATTTCTAGTTGGTCCTTATTTATAACCTCGAGGGTCTTGCTAGATTTCTTGAGGGTCTCACTAAATTTATCGGCGGTTTCTAGAAAATTCTTGAAAAACCTTGTACGTGTGGTTTTGAACTCTATATCCAGTAGTTTGCTTTCCTCCATTTCTGTCATTTGTGACCTGTTTCTTGGTCTCCACATTTTGGCTGCTTCCCTGTGTTGATAGAGTGGCTTTGTGTGCTAGGTGTCCTAAAGGGCCCAGTGGCTCAGCCTCCCCAATTACCTGAGGTGGACACTCTTGGTGCACCCTTTTGTGGTCTTTGCGCACAGTCTTGTTGTAGTTAAGCCTTGATTGTTGTAGGTATCACTGGGAGGAATTGACCTCCAGGCCAATTGGCTGTGAGAATCAGCTGTGTCTGCAGTGGGAGAACTTCTGTGCTGGAGACACCCTTCTGGGGCAAGACTTGCTTCAGTGGGGCTTTGGTGCTCACTGAGTTTGCCCCCTGAGTGTGTCCCTTATGGATCTGAGGAGTTTTAATCTGGATGGTCCCACTCTGCCCACTGGGTACACTGGCTCTTGGATCTCTAAGGAGGTGCTAATTTAGCCTCTGCCTGAGGCTACCCAGCAGGAGCTATGGAGAGATCTGCAGATTCCTCTTCTTTGTTTGGGGTTTGGAGGTGCCCAGATGAGGCCCAGCTGTGAAGCAATGCAAGCTGCTGTAGGGCCTTGGGCCTTCTTTTGGAAGTTCTGGGTCTCTCTGACCCAGCTGCAGTTTTTAGGTAATTTTCAGATTGAAAAGGGCCAGGCCTTTCATATGCAAAAGCCTCTGTGCACAGCTTGGGTGGGGCGGGGTCTCAGCGGATCAACAGGGCGGAGCAAGCAGCTATGGCTGCTCCTCAGTCCTACCCTAAGAGGCCCCGCGTCTCAGTGTCCTGGTAATCGCTGCAAGCACCTCTGAGAGAAAGCCGCCCTCGATTTCTGACCAATGCCAGACAGTCCAGTTTCTCCCCGTATGAGTCTGGGTACTCAGAGACTCGCCTGGAACTGGAGTTCAGAGCAGTCGGGAGCTTGAGACCCCCTCCCGAATGAAAAAGACAACCGTGTCCTCAGTTGCCAGCCCTTTCCACGTGCGCCTCCGTACCTCTGCACTTTACTTCTGCACCTCCTCTGAGTCTCAGTGTGCTTTTCTCTTTCCTTGTAGTTGTAGAATTTCCACTCAGCCAGCCCTCCTATGGTTCTGGATGATGTCCATTTTGTCTTTTAGTTGTATTTTTGAAGTTGTTGTGTGAGGCAGCAATTTCCGGTGTTTACCTATTCCACTATCTTGTTTCCTCTGCAGATTATTTTTCTATGTAATCCACCTTGAAGGTCTATTAAAGCAGACATTTCTTGTCTGCAGCAGAACAATTCTCTTGATCAGTGATGTTGTGAAACAAAACTAATACTTATTTTTCAAATTAAAAATAATGGAACAGATTTTATGTTAAGTAATTATGTTTTGGGAGACAAATTTAACTTAGGCAATAATCTATATATATATATATATAAAAGCCTAAACGACCGGCTGACCGACTGTCCGGTAGCAATGATGCACACTGACCACCAGGGGTCAGACAATGCAGGAGCAGAAACCACAGATATGGAAACATGGAACATACTGATGAATCTCAATGGGAAGGGGGTTGGGCGGGAAGAGATTAACCAAAGATCTTAAATGCATACTAGAAGCCCAGTGCATGAGCACGGGTGGGATCCCTCGGCCTGGCCTGTGGGGATCAGGCTGAAACCAGCTCTCGGACAACCCCCAAGGGGTCCCAGATTGTGAGAGGGCGCAGGCCAGGCCAAGGGATCCCACTGGTGTACAAATCCATGCACTGGGCCTCTAGTGAGCTTATAAAATAAGGATCAAGTGAATTAGTTCTCTGTACCACATAGTGAAAAGGACCAGCATTTTAGTTAGATCAAATA